CCGGGGTATTGTCCTTAGGCGCATGAACGCAATCCTTTTGAATGTGGCCAAAGTTCTTGCACCAAGAGCACGTGATAGGTTTCCATGCATACTCCACTTTGATGTTTATCACCTCACCATTTAGCAATTCAAGCTCAAAATCTTCTTTAAATCCCGATGTTGAGTCCATTTCTACACAAACTCTTGTATACTCCAGCCTCGGTGATGTTGTCCATGTAAAGCGGAAACCCACGGCGCTTGCAATATAACCCAATCCCTTATGCGTCCAAAATTCCAACGGTGTCCCATAGAATTTGGCCCAAATAAGAACCCTCGTCACCCCCTCAATGCGAGAATTCGTATTAGGCCCCGTTTTCTCAAGAAAAGTGGTTGGCCACCAATAAACCAAGAGCCACTCTCAAGCACTTCATACTAGTCACCTCATCCGAAAACTTGAGTAGATAACCCCTTTGTCCATTAGAGATCACTCCAACCTTTTCATACTTCTTCCAATTTCTGTCAACAAAGTTCTTCATTAAGTAAAAAGACAATTTCTTTCCCAAAAATGAGCCTACAAGGCAATTGTGCTATTTGTCAACTCCCATGGCCGCAACCTCTTCAGGAGGAGAAACTCGAATCTTGGTTCCTTCTTTGTTCATATTCGGTTTGAAGTATTCTAACGCCACATTGGATTTCTTAGAAAAGAATAGGTTCCTCCACTAACTGGGATTAGGATCATTTTTCGGCTTTGCCTCATTGTCATCCTCAATCTCAACCTTAACCTCACTAGTCTCACGCATTCCACCAGAACTACTTCCCTTCAGCATGTTAATACCATCTGTCGCTTGCCATGGACAACATTAGAAATCAAACTAGAATAAACCAACAAACTCCTCTTAGTATCACTAGCCACAACACTACCTCCACCTACTCCACTCTCGAGACCTACAACCCATCATCTTAGAAACAGCACCACCATTACTGATAAGAGCATTCTCAATCTTCTCACATAACGCCTCCTTAGACAACCAGATAACTTCACCCTCATCACACATAGCATCGGCCCCATCATTATCAAGTACTCGGACTTTGACCCTTTTTTCCATGGCTACCGCATTCAATTATAAGGTCGTCAAGTGTCATTTTCTTCACACCAAAATTCATGGCTAAAAGTGTCATAAGTTGATGGATGATCCAAACCAACAAATTTGCTATTATGCCTAAAAAATCAAGGCTGACATAAGCTTATATCAGTAAGTATCAATCAGAGTTTAGGAAGGCTTTGCGCCATTCAAGAGCTGCCATGTCGCCCCAAGACAGAAAAATTACGGTTGTCATTAACCTAGCATATTCAGGTTTTGTCTATAAGTGAACGAGAGCCGCACACCTGTCCAAACCCCAGATAATTTGAGGATATTTCCTAAGTTATCAGCCAATGAGAGGCAAAGAAGGATTTGTATGGCACCTACCCACTTGCAGATTTGGAATCATTACCTTGAATTCAGCTATTGTAATCTTTATTTTCAAAGCAAAGATAATCTACGAGAAAGAGACTAACTTGATATTCTCTCTGAATAATCAGTTATTGTATCTCTGCTTGCTGCTCGTTATACACGACCTCTTGTAAACTCTTATATATAAAAGAAATAGTGGACGTAGGAATCGCTTTAAGCATCCGAACCACTTTAAAAATCATCTTTCTTATTTATTGTTCAGTCTTTGCATTCAATAATATTGATTAACCTTGTCTTGACTCTTGAATCAATCACATCACGTGTAATTTCTAAGAATAGCTTAGCATTTTACACGTGCGAGTCGTTGGTGTCAAAATCACACATCAACATTTGCCTACACCTAGCATTACACCATCCATCATACTCCTATCATGTCTAAGAGTATAAAGTATAGATCTTCGACCAAAAAAAAAAAAAAAAAAAATCCCATTCTTTGAAGATCTCGTATAAATATTTGTCCTAGATTCTATATGAATATTGTCAAGTTTCAAAACTTAAGAATGGTGGTGGTGTGATTGATCTTGGACAAGTATCCAAGACATCGAAACCTCTTCAAATTTTATCAAAAGTTTCATTCATAATTCAACTTTGAAAGAAACATAAACTTTGGATCTCTGGTTTAGTATGCTTTTGCAAAGCATATTTTAGGTGAATTTTGGGTAAATGTTGGTTTCAAGATCAAATGTGCTGTATCAAAGAGTTTGTTTCAATTAAGGTGTCTGTTAAATTCATAATTACTAAAATGAACTTCTTAGGTTCATGACTAACAATCATACATTAGTATGAAAGATAGTTACACATGTGAATCTAAAGCTTTGCAAAACCTTTTACCACTTGTTTAGTCAAAGGATACTTCTTTGAAAGTTCAACACAATAATTCAGAATTATTCAAAGAGAACTTTTATTTTCTTCATTTTTTCCTTTTCCAAAATTTTTTATTTTTTCATATTTAACCGTTCCCATTTTTAAATTCTTATAAAATTTGTAAACCTTATACAATTTTTCAGGTTTTGGGGTCTAAGTGTCAATATTGCAAGTTCCAAGGGTGGAAGTTAAGCCACATTTACCCTTTTCCCTTGTGGCCAGATGACAAACATTTTAACCAATGGAGTTGCTATATCATAGGGTCTTGTATTCGAGTCATATGAGAGATAATTATCAAGTTTAACCATAAAAAAAAAAAAAAAAAAAAAAAAAAAAAAATAATTTAAGCCCCATTATATAGTCAGTCATCTAGTGGATTTGTAAAATTATTTTCTTACCGTTCTTCCATAAGCGAAATTTTGACGAGACTAATGACAATGATGGATTTTGTATAATATTTAATAGTCAAGGTTGATGTGAATGAAAATGCCAAACTTAGTATGCACCACCAATTTAAAACTAAGGATGTAATTGAACCAAGATAAAAGGGTTATTCTCTTCACGACCAAAGTCGAGTCAGCACTAACATTTGGGTAACTACATCCTAGGGACAGTGACTGTAGTGCATCTTTCCGATTTTACAAGATGCAAAGAAGTCTCCTAACCTGAGGGATGAATATGATATTATCCCTCAAATCATATGGGATAAGAATTAGAGGATAACATTGAGGCAGAGAGACTCCAATGGCGCTATCTGTTTATCTCGTAGCATGGTTCATAGTAAAGGTAATTTTTTTTAATAAGCTAAATTATTTAGCTTTTTCGTTGTTTGGCTTCCCATTTCACAGTATTTTTGTTTTGTAGGGTGGTGGCCTCCCATACCCATCCAACATTTCACTCTCTCTGTGAGTACCCAGGTGCCTTTTTCCTTTTCTTCTAAATTCAAAGTAAATCTTTCTCCACATTTTATTGTTTTGTTTTTGTTCTCTAGATTTAACATTCCCAGTTACCTTAATGAGGATTTTATGATTGCTTTTGGGGTTTTTGTCTCTGTTTTAGATAAATATGATCCCGTTTAACTCCTCTTATCTTGATAATATTAAATGTCATTAAACTACTTGTGAGTTTTTATGAATTGGGTGCATATCAAAGTTTCGAAATTGTGTTTTTATATGACAAGATATACACATGTTGACGATGATAATATTTAAAATAAATAATTAAATATAGCCCAAATACCAGTAATTTTATGTCTGGTATGATTAAGTAGTAGCTTCCTGTTGCAGAATTACCTCTGAATAGAGCTTCACCCTTAATTATACAATCATATACACACAACTCACTGGTAAAAGTTTTGGGGAAACTGTGCTCGTAAGATTTCCTATTTGTCTCCTCTTGTAAAAACCTTGTGTTACAGTTGGTTTTTGTGTGTTTTAAAAGGATATAAATACACTTAACCTTTTAAGTTTTTTTCTTGTGGCGAAAGGTTTACAAGTTCTATCAGAAGAATCCAAGTAGAGCCATAAAATCTCACTTTTTCACTCAGTGGAGCTCAGATTTCCTACACATGAACCTTCACCATCCAATGCAGCAGCTATTCAGGAAACTCTCATAATGTTTTAGAGTCGTAACAGACATCTCAGGTCTTATTGAGAAGTTGGCTTTGGCAGATTTAGAGCCATCTACAGCAAAGCTGGCAATTGGTATATAGTCCTCTTCTCTCCGCGTTTTCTTTTCTATTATCTTGAGATATATTATGTCCTGTACCCAAAACTCCTTTGGGAAGTTTCCGTATGTTGTTAGTTTATGCCCCCACTGAACCGTTTCTCGTCCCTACTCGAAAGTTGATTCCCCCCTTGCAGGGGTGGATATTACTCCGGTGGTTTGGGTTGGATTGGTTAATTTTCTAGTGAAATATTGTCGACCACAAGGGCTTCTGTCCTTGTCTCTCAACAACTTAGCTAGTCGATTTTTTTTGTTGTGTGTTATTCATTTTTGGTGGATATATTAAATTTTCCAATCTCATTTCATCCTCACCATTCTTCTGTAGATGTTGTATCAAGGCAACTAATCTTTCAACTCATATTTGTCATTACAGACGCCCTCATTTCTATAGCTTCACTCCCAAATAATCAGATTTATAAATTAATTGAAATATTCTCCTAAACAAACCAGATTATTTCTAAACTATTTTTAGATGCACATATAATACACCTTTATAATATATATTTACAAAATACTCTAAAAAAACGTCATATTGATCAAATAAATTAACTTAATAATTTAAAAAAAAAAAAAATTAAACAAGAGAACTGCAACATCACCAACTGCCGTCCTTTTTTTTTTAACATCTGTGAAATATAGTTTCTCCTACTTGTATAAGCAATATTATCTAGCATTTATAATGCAAGGCAAGTACCATACAAAAAAAAAAAAAAAAAAAAAAAAAAAAAAAATTATTATTGTCTATTTCATTAATATTTTTATGTTAAAAGCTACAATCAAACAGCAAACAAGACACTACTAGAATTTGATGCTGACAGAACGAACTTGCTACAACTACAATAAAAAAAAAATTAAAAAAACTCAAAATTACTACATTACATTAGCTTTGCCTTTTTTAAGGACGCGTAACCATATCACAGAATGCAAAACACTACCTGCAACTTCATATTTAAATGTCTGCCGCAAGAAAGTTGTTAGAGAGTGATACCTGCATTAATATATCAACTCCCATTTCATTGCAATTCAAATTTTCATTAAACAAGCAGGAGAAAACAGAGCACTTTAATATTTTCCATACCTTCTCTCCCAGTTTGAATGGTGGAAGACCCTTGTAAGGGCATGTGTTGCATCGAAAAGCATCCCCTAATCCACACTGTAAAGTATATAATTAGTCTCTGAGAAAGAAAAGAGAAATTTGGTTTGGAAAATAAAACATGATCAGAAATTTGGTATGTTGATACTTTCAAATGCTCACTGCATCAGAAGGGAAAAAAAAATCGCCTTATGACAATACTACATTTCCACAAAACAATACAGATAAAAATAACCTCATAACTAGTATTTTTAACTCACTTCTTTTGCATAATATATCACCGAGTGAGACCCTAAAAAGCATACAAGCCTAAATCCTTGCTTTATTTGGGCACATATGATCAAGTTTTATGTTATGAAGGATATCGTACAAGACTCATTATGTTGAGTCCATCAGAAAAGTAATAGGCTCCTTCAGAAACTAGTTGAAGTATCTTACTTTATTCCTTGTTTTCAAAAAATATAGGTAAGACACTTGTACTGATAGCATATATATACTTGAATACTCTTAAATCTAAGAACCAAGGGAGACCAGGATAATCAGTTCTCAAAACATAAGTTTACAAGAAGGCATACATTTCCACATGCTGATTGAGGATTGTTCAGCTGATTCATGGTCAGTCCTAACTTCTGTACTTTCTCCTCTGCCTCAGCCCTTCCACAAGTGCAGTTTTTGCAAGCTTTCCTTGTGCTTCGAACTTCACAATCACCGACTGCACAGACTTTTTGTTTAGCGCATGGTGCAGATAATCCATAGAAACTACTACATTGTAAGAAAGTTCACAAAAACAAGGAGTTAGGAATTGAGCCATCTTACCAGGTGATAACTTTGGTTTCTTCAAGTCCTCTTCAGTTAAGAGAGAATCTTCATCAATCACATCACAATCATCATCCAACTGAACTTTCAATAAACTTTTAGGGGCCTTCTTCAAAGCAAAGGAAGACCCAAGTTTCCAGGAAGGCTTCTTACCCTTCACCTAGAATAAGTTAATATAAATTCAACTAATGTATCTGTAAAATGAACATTTGAAAAAATAATCTACGTACTCAGCCTAGTGTAAGAATAGAAACTCACCCTAAAAAAGTGAACATCTTCAGTTGCAACATCTGATTTTAGTTCAAGACGACATGCTTCTAGAAATCCTGCTAACATTAACTTGCGCTCAATAGCCGAGATTGCCTTCAATGAAAACCATTATGAGATATATTAATAAAAGCAACCTACAAAGAAATAACAAAGTGCACACCATATACCTTATCGGCATGCCCTTTATCAGAATTGAAATTCTTGTAAAGAAGAATTGTTCCACCAGGCTTCAGAACTCTTGAAATTTCGCCAAAGAACTGATCACCAGGAAATTCAAGTGAACTACTGATAGATATGGCAATGTCAACAGAGGAGGGCTCACATGGCAGCTCACCTGTCAAAAGAAGACAACAAATTGAACTATAATCTATTATATCAAATAGAAAGGGAGAGGAAAAAACATTCAGTTTACCTTTCAGCCTCATTTTCGTAAAACAACATAAGGAAACAGAATATACCCATATTTCATGCCAAATACAATGACATGAATTTTCATTCTCCCGAGCAAACAATAGCCAAGACATATCCAATTTCTTATGGAATAGTTGTCTCTCCCACCCAGCATCCATGTCAAACTATGACCAATAATTTATTGTTACAAATATGAAACATAAAGCTGCCTGTTAAAAACGAATCCTTCAATTCAAGTAACAGCAAGAATGTGAAGATCTGATTCCGAATTACAAAACACTTACAAGCTTATACAGAACCACATGTTTATTCGTTGCCCGCCCCGACATTTGCTGCCCCGAACAACACGAGCACCAAATCTACCCATCCAAAACGATGGCAACCCCTAATAATACAACCACCAAATCTACCACCCAAATCCATGGTAGCCCTGAGCCCTCCACAATTGCATTTACGCAGGCACCAAATTGATCCAATTGAGCACATTTGGAAGAACTTGAAGACTCAAAATAGAAGAAAAGAGAGCTAATAATGGAATCTCAAAAAAGTGAAATCTACCATGGAAATAAAGAGAACGTCACATAAGAAGACTAGTAATTGCTTAATTTTTAAGCTCTTTCTTCTTCTTTAATTATATCTCTTTTTTCTTTTTCTTTACCTTTTTTCATGGTTACCCCATTTAACTCGGACACAATTTCGGGTTTATCACATGGTTTCTGCAGTTAGGTTTGGGAACCTGGTCATAGCTCCAACACAATCACAGAAAGAATAAAAGGTAATCTATGAATGGATATGTTTTGATCTCTCGGTTAAGGTTTCCTTCTGGATTGGCTTGTCAAAACTGATAACCAACTAACCGAAAAACCATGTAGTTCTAGGGAGAAACTGGATAGTTATTATAGGGTTTAAAAGCATGGTTGTGGATTTCCCAGGGGAGAGCAGAAAATTTAACGGGCAGACCTCCCAAGTTTACATTTAAAAAAAAGATATTTTTGAATTTTTTTTAATTCAGAAAAGCTGACTGGCACTAAGGATTCATTAAACATGTAAAATGGATTAAACTAAAAATATTTAAATATATATGGGTAAAATCATAGTTAACAGAAGTTTGTTTAAATTTTGAAATTTTAAAACAAGCCCCCACTCTTCAAAATCGTTTAATCGAGCCATATACCTTAAAAACGATCGACGAACACATTTCGTTTTTCTGTGAGGCGATGACTAATTCTTAATTCCGTCAAATATTCGATTCTAAAGCTTCCTTACACAAAACCATAGTTGACATTCACAAAAAGGAGGAAAACCCAACTTTACTCCGAATCTTAGACTCTGGCGGCGCCAGTAGTTCAAAGGCTAACGCAGTGAAGAAATGGTACGTTTTTTACTTTTTGTTTTTGAAATTGATGAGAAATTTGATTGATTTGTGCGAATTTGGGGGATATATAGTTGGTTTTTGTAGACGTAAAAATCTACCTGTACGGAAGGGGGGTCTGATCCCGTGAAGTTGAGGCCACTAGCGATCCGCTGCACCTGCACACGTAGAGAAACAAACCCGTGAAGCGAACGGGAAACACCGGGGTGGTGTTTGCCGTAGGCACCCCGACGCTCAAGTCAGCAAGGCTGAAAGAGGCTTAGTATAGTGGGGGCTAGGGAGTAGAGAAGTTACCGGAAGTCTAGTCGGAGATTGTGACTACGGTAGTGATGTGAAGTTCTCAAGTAGGAGCTTCAGGTGTGAAGGTGTAATGTAATGTCCTTTGTGAGAGGGTTGACCTCTGTTTATATAGCGACTATCTGGTCTCCCAATCTTGGTGGGAATAGGAGTCCCAGTGTGACTCTGATGTAAACCCTAGAAGAGTTAGGGCGGTTGTGAGTTGTCTTACCAGCGTCCGAATAGGAAGGTAATCTGAACAGGAAAATGACTTCGAATAGGAGATTGATCAGGAACATGAATGTGATCAGTGGGGGCCGTGGGCTCTGAACTCGCCTATAGGCCCAGGAAGTGAGCTGGAACTGGGAGGCCCGTGCCCAAATGGTTTGGGGCAGACCGTATCTCGTATCAAATGTGACTAATTTAGCTTGGGTCTCTTTGGGATTGGGCCTGGTCTTTTTCTCACTGGTGGTCCTGTTTTCCTATTTGGGACAAGGACGATTTTTGGCCATAACAGTTTTATTGTTAAGATAATTGTGGTATTTTGTCGAGCAGTTGACGGGCATGGAGAGAGTGGCTTTGTTTGGGTTTCAGAGGATGAGGGAAGGCAAGGGAGCCATAGGGAAGTTGTTTGTAGGAGGTTGGAGGGTTTGGAATGACAGAAAATGGCAGAATAGGGGCTGGAGGGCTGCTTTGCATATTGGATAAAGATAAATAAATAAATAAAAGATTTATATCAAAAAGTTTTAGCTGAGAAATATCCTTGAAAAATGATTTTGAAATTAATAAATAATTAGATAAAGGGATAAAATCATTATTTATCTAAGGATGAATGCCAAAATAAAATAAAATAAATAATAATTCTTGGATTAAAGTTTCTTTAATTATAGGATGAGAGATAAAGCTGAAACTAATTTATTTCTTGATGAAAATATAAAAAATAAAATTATAAAATAAGAATTTACTAACAGAAGAAAGGATTCTTGATCTTGAAGGCTTTCAATGAAACAGACATAAATAGGTAAACGAGATTAAACTCTTTTACAAAAATATGCTTTTCTTTTTTGGAGATAAATAGAAAAAGGAGATTTATTTGAATATTTTCAAATTTCAAAAAACATTTCAACGGCAAAATTATCTTATTTGATCTTCCCCAACTTTATAATTCTTCAAATCTCTCAAATTCCTCTCTCTCTCTCTCTTAACCCTAACGTATTTCTCAAATTTGAAATATGTTATCATGCTTACTGTTCTCCAGGAAATGCTGAGTATCCTGAGGAGCCATTCAATCTCTGTGATGCATTTAGCAATCCTCAACCTCAGGAAAGCCTGCAGATTCTGCCACACCCAGTTTGGGGCGACTACGGATACCCAACGGAGAGAGGTGAGGGTTGGATCGGTGATCCCAGGACCTGCGAGCTTGATGTTCGAAGATTATCTCAATCACTTTACTTCTGTCAGGATCCTGGTACAGAACCTGTAAAGAGGCACTGGCCATCAATAGACTTGGGGACTGAAATTTATGTTAGTGGTCAGCATCAAGTTGCAGAATGGACTGTTAGTGATTTTGATATTTGAATACCGAAAGAATGAACAGTTAGAGTTTCATTGTCAAATTAGTAGGATTTGGAAATTTTTTTTTTAGGTTGTTAAACATTCTATAGCCACAAGGAAGTTAATAGTAATAATATTGTTCTGATCTTCTCTAGAATTTCAGTGTTCAGAAATGTTGATAAAAGATGAAGAAATTGCTTGATTGTAGTAATGAAGAAATTGTTTTTTCTTTTTTCAATAGATTGGATATCTTTTGTGTTGGCGATTTTGGATAGTCTTTTTATAGATTGGATGTCTTAAACGATGGGTGTTGAGATAAATTTTTGGTCACAAATAGCCTCTTCCTTTCTGGAAGGCTTGTATGTATTTGTGTATGCCTGTGGGTCTTTGTGCTTTAGGGTTTGTTCTGTGTATTGAACAAACATAGAGACAGAGCTGTAAAAGAGTTTATTTTTGTTTCAGAGATTGCAATTTTTTTTTAACTGTGGAACGACCAAGTGCATCCTAGAGGGTGAAAAAAAGAGCATTGGAGGAAGATAATGGTATTGTAGGGAGGAAATATAAATTTAAAATTCTACTACCAAATGGGGCTAGTGTAGAATTAACTCTATGGGACCCCGTCCTCCGAATGCCCTTACAAGACTTCATTAAGTTGGTGAAAGGTGAATATTTTCGAGCTTGGCAAGAATGCAAAACAATGAGTCAGAAAAGAACAATAAATTGGAAAAATGAAGGGCTGTACCCCTACGAGAATAAGATAAGAAATATAATGGACTTTGGGAAGTTCAAGCCACATAGGTACCATATTTTATGGCTAGATGTGAGTATTTGTAATCTAAGTATTTACGCTGTTTGATTATAAGAGTTTTCATGCCAGGATTCAGTGATGCTTTAATTTGTTTATTTCATCATTAGGATGAATCCAGTTAGATTTCCAATACTTTTGAGGTTAGTAATTTTTAATATTTCTGACTTTCTGCGTATTTTTGCTTTAATTTTGATTTTGAACATTCATTGTGGTTCTTTGTTCATCTTTTATACGCTTAATGAAGAAATTGTATTCAGTTTTATGATGGACTGGTTTGTTTACAGGGCATGTGGGATTTGACACCGACACTGATCTATTAATGGAGCTGCCAGAAGAATACACTTTTGAAATTGCTCTTGCAGATTTGATTGTATGTTGTTGGATAATTGAAAGAATTGAAGAAGTTTTGGCTTTTTGGCTTATCTTTTCAGTTTATGTAGTTGTTTATTCTCTGCTGCTTATGTACAGGATAATTCCTTGCAAGCCATATGGACCAATCGTGAAAATGATAGGAGATTATTAGGTATGACATTTGTATGATGACCATATTTTTGCTTTGCTGCCTATTACATTTACTTTTATGTGTTTGTTTTGTAGATGCTTGATTTTCATGCTATTTTCTGCATATTTCTATTTTTCCAATTCTTTAAAATGTGAACTTCAAATCTATTATTATCAAACTGGCTCAGTGGATGTGCAAATTAATTAGTTCATATGTGAATTGATGAACTCCATTATTTTTCAGAATGCTTTTGTTTATCGTTCACTTCATTGTAAACAGAGATGGTAAGGTTTGACTTCGAAATAGATAAATATATATAAACTAGCTTTCTTTAGGAAAAAAAATTATCATGTATCATAACATAAAAGTTCTTATGAAAAGAATAGTACAAATGAGAGCAAGAAAAAAAATCATCATTCTGTTTTTTAACTTCTCTATTACTTTTACTAACCAAAGCAAAGGAACTTTTTTTTTTTTCCATTTTTTGGTTTTCATTACTTTTATTTACAAAATAACCAAAATAACTTTGATCAGTTGTGATATCATTCTCATCAAGATATTAATTCTATTAGTTCCATATACCTTTCCCTAGATTAAATGTGCTTTCCGCTTATTCCACCAAGGAAGGACGGAACTTGATATCATATTGTTTTAGTCTAAGTGATGTACTCAGTTTTCAACTAATTGGACAAAGTTGATATTGTCAGACAATTTTATCATGTTGTAGTATTCTATCCTCTTATTGTGTTTACATTATGTTTTTTTCTAAACTTTTTCCATTTATATTTTATATGAAACATGTTTTTTCAAAAGTATTAGCAAATGATCTCATATCTAAAAAAATTGCTTAAAGCCCTATTGCTCTCTGTAGTAGAAACAATTTTAAGCATACTTTATTGGTGTTAAATTGCATATATCAATTGGTGAGGAGCCTTCAAGAAGGGCTGGTGTGGATGTTTTTGCTGAAATGGGAGTTGAAGTTACAGTGGAGGACTTTGTCCCTTTCATGGGAACTGGTAAGAGCTTAGTCACTAATTACTTTTGCATTTTAGCTATTTATTTGATAAAGCGATTCAATGTGTAATCATTTTGTCGTATTTTATTGAATGATGATCAATTTGATTTTGGCTAAATTGATTATTAATTGTTAACTTCAATTGCATAGCTATGATATTGATGAGCAATTGAAGAATTGTAATGGGCTGTGTTTAATGGCTTGGAGCCTACATTAATATAAACATGGTTTTTCTGTTTATGAAGCAAAAGGAGGTAGATAACTTGTTATAATTGAATGAGTAATCAAAGGTGATGTGGGATTGATATTACTTTCAAAGATACAATTTTCAAATATACAGAGAACTAATTTATGTTTGACTGTTATGGATCATTCTATTACTGTATTAAATTGGAGTTTTGATATGTAATTTTAGCTTTTAATATTTACATGTCCTATGACAATGTAATAGTTGTGGCAAACTTCTTAGGGGTTGTAGCTTCTGTTAAAGGAGTGAAGGGATTTGATCCTGAGGCGGCCAAAAAGAGGTTCTTTGAGATATATCTGGAGAAGGTCATTAACCTACTATTAAACCACATATTGCAATGAAAAGATGGTTACCCTTTACTCACCTCTGATTTCGTTCAATGGTTGCAGTATGCAAAACCAAATTCAGGAATAGGATTTCCAGGAGCCCTTGTACTGATTAATCAGGTATGTAAGCTAAATAATTTCAAATGTCATTTTCCTAATTAATTGTTGCGGCAATTAATGATTTGCTAATGAAATGCTGCTGTAAAACAGTGCAAAAGCCAAGGACGTATAATTGTCTGAACTTGTCTTCTTCATCATTAATAAAAATTAAGAAGCCTGTTTCATCTTGGAAAAATATTTTGGTCTCTAATAACTTTTTTCACAAAAATTGGAGAAGACTTACAGTTCATATTTAGTTTATGTCATTTTGTCTTTTTCTTCTAATACTCTTACAATGTATGATTTACAGTTTGCAGACCATGATGGAACAGGATCCGAAGTCCTTCTTCAACTTCCACTAGCTGTCATTTGTGCGAAGGATGGTCAAATTTATATTGCAGATTGCTCCAACCACAAGGTAATTAGCTAATAGATGAAGATATAAAAGATATTTAAATCACTGTAGCCTGCCAACATTTATTGAATGTTGTGATGATAAATTTAAAGCTTCATGAATGCTCATGATGCATTACTTTGGGGCTCCTGTTGAGAGTTGATCACATAACTGATAAAATGAATGTGAATTATCAAAGCTAACTTCTTGATTTTCATCTCTTTTTGGGTGAAATTTCAGATCAAGAAGCTGGATCCAGCTAGTAAAAGGGTCAGTACCCTAGCAGGGACTGGGAAAGCTGGTTTCAAGGATGGAACAACCCTAGCAGCTCAGGTTAGAAAAATAATTTGTGTCCTTACTGAATTCTGCTCATACTGGTGGCTGAGAATTTTGTATATGTTGCTTTGAAGGAATTATAATTTAAAAAAAAAAAAAAAAAAAAAAAAGTTTGCTTATATGTGTTACATGCATCTACCGTGAGAATTGGTTATACTTGTTTGTTGAATCACTATCTAGCAACAAGTTGCAAATGGAAAGGCAATGCCTTGTTACCTGCCATATGGGATTTCAGATGCACTGAAAATGAGTTTCTTTCATTAATTCATAATGCTATTTCTGAGCTATTATGTGTGATTAGATCAAAATGTGAGAATTCATAATCCAAGTACCATCTCATATTTTAAATTTTGTTACAATCACATCTCTTGAATTATTACAATGAAGCTCTTTCATCCTTGTTAACCTAAGGAACACAAATGAAAGTTCAGGATGTTTATATCACTCTCCAAGTAAACTTTCCTGATTTTAGGATGGCCTGAAATTTCACCTTTTATGCATTTACTATTTCTTTCAGCTTTTGGAGTCATCAGGAATCATTGAAGCAGAAAACAGTGATACTATCTTCTCTGTTTCATTAGCTGCAAACAGTTATCAAAATTGACGTGGAAGTTGTAACTGATTGCAACTTGCTGTGCCTTTGCATAAATTATCATAGGTACTTACTGAAGCTGATGGAGAGTCTCCTAAAGTGAAGTACTGCTGATCCTTCTGGACTAAGATTTCCATCCAACGGATCAACAGCCACAGAATTTTCAGGTACAACATCGAAGCTGAATTTACTACGTGCTTCCTGCATTTGTAGTCATAAAGCAGAGAATTATAAGGTCGAAAACAAATGAAAAAGTTGAAGCCTTTGGTGACACAGACCATCTGTACCTTTGAGAAAGGGTACTCCTTTTACCTTCCTATACCAATGCTTGTAGCAAATAATTTTAAGCTAAAAAAATTCAAATATAATTTTGACAATCCCAATTTTTATTGTAATTTATGATGTTGAAAATATCACTTTTTTTTTGCATCCTTGAAGTCTTGGTAGTACTGAAAAGTGGTAGCATCTTTTTGTTTGGATGTAGACGAGCCATTCCCTGATTGCAAAACCACAATTTGTTTTTTAAAGTTGATATATTTCTCTTTTTGGAAGAGGGCATCTTTGGGGCTGTGTGTTTTAGATTAGTGCATCTTTGAATGATTCATGCATTATTGCAAACTAATGTTGAAATGTAATAAAACAGGAACTACCTAGCCTGTTATATTTTCCTGTTTTCTGGTTTCCTTCTTGTTGCTTTGTTTTGGATGGAAAATATGCGGCAGAGTCTAGAAGAAACTCAAATCCTGTGCATGTACCAGTAATTTCCATATGTAATGTTTTTGTTGTAAATTGATGTTTGCAAAGCCATGATTGTCCCTCTCTTTTGCAGTTGTCAATTCAAACAAATGCTTTGTCTATTCAAGATTCGTCAGCATCAGTGCAAGTGGATCAAAAGGAAATTTCTGTAGTTGGAATGCAAAATGGAGGAAATCCACAAGCAGAAGCTATCTTTTACCATTCTCAGGTTGTTCGGATAAAAAATATCTTGGAACTAGTTTAAAATTTTATTAAAGCATATTTTGTTTTATACTTTTGACTAAGGATATAGCTAGATGCATTATATTTTAGTATGTTCTAATTTTATGTTGTATATGTTTTCTTAATAGTATGTCCAACTTTGAAACAGAATGATCAAATGACATATGCTTTGCTCTATCCTAATCTTTGTAGAGACTTCAAGATGATCTACAAACGCTAGGCTTGAAAATCAAGCTGCATGAGGACCACATAAAACTTTTTAAGTCCCAAAGCAACAAGTTAGATGACTCTATACTTGAATCACAAGGTACATTTATTCTTTTAACCCAGTACATTAATCAATGTATATCAACTCCATCTTGAAATTTGCAGAAGAAAACGTCGAGGCAAATAGTTTGTATGATAAACCTTGCAATCTAGCAGCTAGATCAAATGGGTGGTGCCCATATTCATAAGAATATTTGTTTACTTGGAGAAAATCTTTCATTGACTTCAAATTTTGAAGTATTTTGAGGTTTTGACTCGTTTTAGTTTTGTAAGTGATAGAACACTGACCTGTTAAACCACCAAGCAACACACAAACTACTCTATCCAATACCAGTTAAAACAATCATCAAGCACAGGAATGAAAAAGAAATAGACTCTATATTGATATTAAGAACATAACATTACATTCAGAGAATCATGTTCTATCATCTACCCAGCAACCTAACAACAAAATGGAACAATTCTAAGTACAGCAAAAACAAAGATAAAGACTGAACTTCGAGGGTCAGTCACCTCCCCTTCAAAACCTTAACCTTAACCTTCTTTCTGAATAGCACCCAATTCCCTTTGTCCTTCACTTTTATTCCCTAACACCTTTTTCTCATAACCGAATTCTTCACCCTTCTAATCTCATTAAGCCACCTGTCCTTCCAAAAGCTACTCCTAACACTCACGCATAAACAAATATTCCTCTACTTCTCACCTTTACCCCTCCTATTGTAGACCAACCTCCCAAGTAGCTTATCATTTCCCTCCCCAAGGAGAACCACCTTGTCCTCAAGGCGGAAGGAAGGAAATTGAGAGTTGATTATGTCAAAATCCTCCTAAGTGTTCTCAAGAGCAGGTAATCCTTTCCATTGAATTAGTACCTCCCATTGTCCGTTCAAGAGCCTTCTTTTCTTAAGTACAACTTCTGGTTCAACCTGCAAAATAAAATCTTCATTGAGGGCTTCTGGTAGGGGTTGGCTATTAAGGAGTGGGAAAGTTGCCTTCTTAAATTGTGAAACATGGAAAACGTCATGAATACGAACCAAGGGAGGTATTGCCAGCTTGTATGCTATTGCCCCAATTCTATCCTTGATCACAAATGGACCGTAAAACCTCAGACTAAGTTTCTCATTATATTGACGAGTTAGAGATCTTAATCTATAGGGTTGCAACTTCAAATACACTGATTCACCTATCTCAAACGTAACTTCTCGTCGTCGGTTATCAGCATAAGTTTTCATTCGGTTTTGAGCCTTGAGGAGATTCTCTTTTAACTCCTTGATTACATTGTGCGACTCTGGAGTTGTTGGTCGACTTCATCAACTGAGGAAGTGTGGTCAATATACCTCAACACCGTTGGAAGGTCGCGACCATATAAAGCTTTAAATGGACACATACTCGTGGAGCTACTATAAGTGGTGTTGAACCAAAATTCTGCCCACGGAACCCATCTCGGCCACTGTTGGGGTTGGCTATTGACAAAGCACTTGAGGTACGTCTCCAAACATCGATTTACCACCTTGGTTTGACCGTCTGTTTGCGGATGGTAAGCTGAGCTCATGTGCAGTTGAGTTCTTGACTATTTAAATAATTCTCCCCAAAAGTTGCTCATGAAAACTCCATCACGATCTGAAACAATGATGCGAGGAAACCCATGCAACCACACTATCTTCCCACACTTGTTTAGGAATAGGCAGTGGTTGTAGCAGACTTGTTGGACTCAAGGCTTCATATTTGTTATGTTGGAAAATAGTGCAGGCTTCCACAAGTTCCTTAATATCTTTCTTCATCCCCTTCCAATACACTACTTTCGTGATGTGTTTATATGTCCGAAAGAAAACCCAAACGGCCCCCAATGGGTGAGGAATGGAACTCATGTAATTTTTTTTGGATATGAGGTCCAGATTTAGGCACCACCAACCTGTCATGATACAATAAATGTTGTCCCACTAATTTGAAATGAGGATGGCTATTTGGGTTGACCAAAAGTTGTTGCATGATCCTGCGTAACTTATCATCCTGATGAATGACATCTTCTAAATCCGTTATACCCGAGAAGCAGCTCATAGAGAGAGCATGGTTTTCTACAACTTCTGGCACTCTAGAAAGAGCATCTACCGCCGTGTTCTGTAGCCCAGGTTTGTACTGAATTATAAAGTCTAGCCCAATAACTTGATAATCCATTTTTGATAATTCTCACTCAGCAATTTTAGGTCAGTTAAGAAGTGGAGACTTCTCTGATTGGTCCTGATAACGAAACATTTTCCCAAAAGATAATGGCGCCATTTTTGCATTGCCATGATTACGGTCATTAATTCTCGCTCGTAAACTGATTTAAGTTTGGAATTTAGAGACAAACCCTTGCTGAGAAAGGCAATAGGTTGCCCTTCTTGCATCAATACAGCCCCTAAACCATTCTTGGATGCAACAATCTCTATGATAAATTCCTTTGTGAAATTAGGCATTCTGAGGATTGGAACACTTGTCATGAGTCTTTTTAATTCTTCAAAAGCACATTGAGCTGTTGTATTCCACACAAATGAATCTTTCTTTAATAAGGCAGTGAGTGGGAGGGCTATCTTACCATAATCCTGAACAAATCGTTGATAATATCCCGTCAATCCAAGAAACCCTTTAAGTGCTCTGATGTCTCTCGGTTCTAGCCCTTTAGTAATGCTCTCTATCTGTGATGGGTCGATTGCCACTCCTTTTGCTGAGATTACATGCCCCTAATATTCTAACTGTTGCTACCCAAAAATGCATTTCTTTCTATTGACCACCAATTGATTTTCCATCAGTGTCTTTAAAGTAATACTTAGATGTCTTGCATGCTCACCCATCTTCTT